CAAATTATAATCCACGACTGGCAGGATGCGTGTCGGTCGGTACGTAATTATAATAACAATCGGACAATAGTCCTGGTCGGAAGCGTTTCCGTTGTGGTCACTAATTTTGAGTGACGGTCGGGGCTGACCAGTGTGGCGAACAAAGCTTTTGCACATCTGATATTGGCATTTCAAATATGAAATCAAGCGCCGAGGTCGGAACACTTAGCGCCGAGGTCTCAAGTAAAGCGCCGAGCTTCACAAGTATAGCGCCGCGAACCTCGGCGCTAAAAAGCCCTGGGGAGAACCCTGATGAAGACTTGCTCCTTCACTGATTCAAATCGTAGAGCTCAATGATCACCAGTTAGTCTAAGTTGTTCACATGCAAATCCACCAAACTTTAAACTTTGGCACTAAAAGAAATTCAAGCAAAATCAAAATTATCAAAGTGGATCACATGCATGTCATATCACAAACATCGATAACTTTCAAAGTGATGACATTTAATTGTCTTAAACACTTATTAAAATCTGACCTTGTCTGAATAATAACACCGAGAAGTTGAAGATGATTAGTGGTCTCGTTATTAAATACTAATACTATATTTGTATACTCTGTGTAGTTACAAGACAAGGCACAGTTGTTGACTGCCGAGCGTAAGAAGCGTGGAAAAAGAGTACCCGAGGGATTGGTTGGAAGTGAAGATATTAGAAACTATAAACAACAGTCTACACATCCTGTAAGTAACTACTGTAAAAGGGTTAATTATTCACTGGGTTTTAATTTTGCTTATTTCGCTGACTGGAAAATGCGCTAAATTAAAACCCAGTGAATATGTAAAATTTAGCATAGAACACATTATCTAAATGATAAAACCGTGAATTTAAAACCAGTGAAATTTAAACCCAGTGAAAATTAGTCATTTTAAAAGTATGCCAGCATAAAATGAAACAAAGAACACCAATGCTGCATACTGTATTAGCTCTATTAGAAACACATCCCCAATAAAATTGCTTATAAAACAAAAATCACATTTGTTAGTCCCCGTTCGGACGCAGTCCGAAAACGAGGACTTATGTTTTGACCTCCGTGTATCCATGCGTGCGTGCGTCCGGCCGGACCTGTATCTTAGAAATGCCTGGACCAATCACAATCAAACTTCACACATATTTCATACATGATATTATACATATGCACGTCAATTTGTTTCACAATCTGATTCAAGATGGCCGAATGGCGGCCATTTTTTGTGCTAAAAATTCATAAAAATCAAGCATTTCTCGGCTGTTTACAGATGGATTTTGTTCAAACTTGGTATATACATTAGACATTATGGGACCTTGATGCAAATAATTTTGTTTTTCAGATAAGATTCAAAATGGCCGACTGGCGGCCATTTTGTGTTAATAAATGTGGTTCTCGTGCCATATCTCTGACTTGCTTTCACTGATTATGTTCAAATTTTAAATATTCATTATACGTCATGTCATAGAAAGATATATTGGTTTGACGATTCTATTCAAAATGGCCAAATGGTGGCCATTTTTGTGCTAAAAAATCATCAAATATCAAGCATTTATGGATGGATTTCGTTCAAACTTGGTACATATATTAGACATTACAGGTTCCTGATGCACGTCATTTTATTTTTCAGATTGGATTCAAAATAGCTGACTGCCAGGCATTTTTTTTTAATGATTGGGCTTCTGGAGCCATATCTCTTAAATGCTTTGACTGATTATATTCAAATTTTATATATTCGTTATACATCATGTTATATATATATACATGTATTCAAAATGGCTGATTTTGAATGCTGTTCCAGAGCAATATCTCTCAATATGGACAAGTATTTGTTTGACGATCAGATACAAATGTCAATCATTTTAATGTTAAAAAATCATATTCCTGACATGGTTATATTCCAGCTATATTACTATAAACAAAACTATATATCTTAAATTTGATAACTAACGGGGACTGTGCCATGCATGGCTTGTTAAAACATTACTTGTTTTAATCTTAGAAACATCTCTGTAATTTACGTAAGCACATAAGCTACTCATGGAGCAAACAAGCTTTTACTCTATTATGTGTTGATGAATCTGCTGGACAAATACTTGAATGAAATCTGAGATCAACCAATCATCCCTTGATACACTAGACTTAAAGTGACTAAAGTGACAAACTTTGTCCTTAACATACAGCTAAACATTACAGTTTATAGCGTGGAGACTTATTCTGAGTATATTGTTGCTCTAACATAATAACTGATGATGCCATGATGTCTATTATCTATCGATCAAATCAGAGGTGACATCTCAAACAACAAGACTTACTGTAAAATCTGTATTAGAAACTGCAGCTTCTATTAAAATGGTACAATGCAACAGAGGGGATGCGGCTTCTATTAGAGCATCTACACATATGAGAAATGGTGAATGTTTGCTTCTCAATTGTTAAAAAAGAATGGGTGCAATTTCTATTAGAGAAGCGGCTTCTAATACAGATTTACGGTACTCTATAATATCTAGCTGAGTTTAATTGCTAATGATATTTTTGAATTTTGTATTCATTCTACGCTAGTGGTGCTGGAAGTTGAGGATGAGACAACTTCAAAACTGCATTACCTTTTAATCTAGGAAACTAGATTTGTCTATTCAGTCATTGTCTTACTAATTACTTATTTTTGCCTCCTCTCATCCAGGGTTTGCATAGTGCTAGCGTACCCGGCATCTTGTCAATGGACTTGCATGCTTCAGACACATCAAAGGTTCTCACAGGTGAGTAGCGCCCCCTACAGTTCAAAAGTGATAGGCCTGAAATACTCTACTTGTCACCCTATGCTGTTGTAATTGACACCTCCTTTGTGCAAAGCTTTTAATGATGGTAGCTCGTTGAATTTTAATTTAATACCTTGAAAATTTGTTTTCTTTAAATCTATTTATATTAAGGATCGTTAAACTGAATTGAAGATCATGTACCGTAAAATTCCGATTTGAGGCCGCGACTTTAATTAAAATTCATTTTTTCAATGGACGAATTCAGATGCGTGAAGTCTTGGTGCGGCTTTAATTAGAGCATTCACTTCGGTAACAGTGGGAAATGTTTCTCAGAAAACAAAGGCCAGAAGGGATAATGAGATGCACGACTCTCGATTGCAACTTTGTTGCGATTCTAAGCGCACTCTCGGGTTTTTACACACAGACAAACTTGTCACAAACGAAATTTCACACTGTATAACATACTGCACAATAAATAATATCTACAAATAGATTTGTATGCATTGGCAGATTACGGTACCGTATACTATATAATCTCTTGAATGGACGTCACTCTAATTCGTTGGCACTCTCACAACTGAGAGACAGTCGTCTGACACAGTTGATTGCGTTCAACTACTGGCATGTTCGACTTCCTGCAGAGTGTTTGTACCTTCCATGTTCTAATTAAAACATCGGGGAAATCACATTACATAAAAAGAAAAATGTTCACAAGATAACAAAAAAATATTTAGTACGGTATATTTAATGTATTATGTATTTATTTTCATATTTTTTTTGATAACGAAAAGTATATTCTAAAAGAAGTAAAAACAAAAATGAATGCAGTCTTTGTAGCAAATGATCACAGTAATGCAATCCAGCCGATCATACTGCATTTCACACAAGTGAATAACTTACTTGTTTTTGAAGTGTTACAGTTGATGATTGTTACTCAGTAGTGATTACAATAATGTACAAAAAATAAATTTGTTGAATTGTTGTGAAAATTCAACTTAGCTTCACTGCAAACGAATGATTTCGGTCACATGTGAATGCTCGATCCGATAGGATAACCGACATGTTTCTTCAAACACTTTAGTGACTTGAAATCGTTTTTTGACCTGATAGGTCAAGTCGCTAATTAACCAATCAAAATGCTGGATGGGGCCAATGTGTTAAAATCACCATAGCTCATGTAAATATATTAATGGTGGTTCAGCAACACGGGACACGGAAGAGATTTACTGTTGTTGTAGTGCGATCGTTTGATTTTGATGGGAAAACGGCATGATTTTTTTTTTTCAAATCAAGAAATTTGTTTTCGAAAGATAAGCTGAGCATTGAAGAAGAATTTAACACTTTTGACGATAATAACAGCTCATTGTTGAAACACACTTTACTCATTCACGCTACCCACAATAAACACTACTCTCGAATAAGCGTCAATGACTACGGAAAACCTAAATTAGACTCTAATCTAGGCGTTAGGAAAGATTGAAATGTTCGAAAAATTATGCCTTAATATAATATAAAATAAAATTAAATGGTATATCTTTTTCTGAAATATGTGGTGGCTGTTGGGTTTGTGAAAGTTTTGGGTGCGGCTTATATTGCAGACATTTTCCTGGGATCAAAACTTGACAATTTCAACATGAAACAATGTCTCAAGTTAGGGGTGCGGCTTCTATTAAAACTGCGGCCTCAAATCTGATTTTTACGGTATATGTCTTGTGTAACATACTTTCCTTTTTATGGGTTCATGCCATTAAAATCCCCCAAGAAAGTTTTTTTTCCATGATTCAAGAGCCCAAAATGGTTAAAACTGACATTTTTCCACTGGGTTTCTACATAGAGATTATATCTTCAAATTTTTCTATGTGACATGGGAGGTAAAAGTCGTGTAATATTATATTACCGTAACATAAATCCTAATCTTATGAAAACATTTCAAAAATACATTTGAAAAATATTTAGTGAGTTTCCATGGTGACAAGTTTTCCATGATGTATAACTGACCTACCATTACTGATTCAAATCATTGTCATACCAAATCGGTGATTTAATATGATCCTACTCACTATGATACAATTGTTTTCCGAAACACTGATTGTAACAGGTTTCAAATTGCTACGATGCCCTCACATGATGCCCTCACATGATTCCCTCCAAATTGCAGAGATCAAATATAATACAAATTACTACCGTGATGACTTGAGATTCGCTTATTCATCTTAACTGAATAGACTACATCTTTGATTTGACTGCATTTCTCTGTTTCACCACTAGGTGGCGCTGATAAGACTGCTGTTGTATTTAACAAAGACACTGAACATGTTGTAACGATTTTGAAAGGACATACAAAGAAAGTTACCAATGTCATCTACCATCCAGAGGAAGTAAGTTGATAATGTTAATCTGAACTTGAACTTCAACACATTCAATTTTGAATTGTGTCACGTGGGGATCATACGCAACATTTCATCTATGAATTTTAAGCCTTTTAATAATTTGATTTCATGAACTTCTTGAATTTAGTGGGGGGGGGGGGGAATAATGTTTATTTATTTGCATATTTCTTACTAATCCTCTACCCCAATTTTGTTATACTTGTCTCTGCTTTTGTAAGGTTGCAGAGTATTTACAAATTGTCATAATGATATTGATGGCATGGATCTCTTCACTAGCCAATCATTTACAAGTTGTTGTCTTAATTGTTCCAATAGGACATTGTATTCACATCATCACCGGACACCACTATTCGTGTATGGATGGTAGCAAATGGGTCATGTACACAAGTTATTCGTGCTCATGAAGGTCCAGTCACTGGTATCAGTTTACATGCAACGGGTGATTATCTACTCAGCTGTTCCGAAGATAGGCACTGGGCGTTCTCTGATATTAGAACTGGCCGTGTTCTCACTAGAATTTCAGATGAATCTGTCAGTCATCGTAAGTTCACGTTAATTTAGTAAAATGGAGCATTTCTAAATTTTAACCCTCTTAGTTCCTCAGCTATGTGTCTTCAATTAGTTTGTGAGTGCGGTTATATTCTGTAAAAAAACTTCCCAATTCGCAATAATTAATCCTGTTATATTTGATAACTCATGGTCTCTTGATTATTGTTACAGTTTTTTGATAGAACACATGAACATCAATTGTACTGGAGATCTTTGACTATTGATTTGCATTTTCTAACGATTTTTGTTCTATCCCAATCATACTTACTCGCATATGACACCTTTACCTGAGTATGCATTTCGACTCATCAAATAAAGTAGTCCCATTTGTAGTTCCTTTTCAAATACTGTGTATGAATAGTAAAATGACATGCTTAAGTGTTTTATGGTTGTTACGCAATAACTCAAATTTATTTTCAGCGCTGACATGTGCTCAGTTCCATCCCGATGGTCTCATCTTTGGTACTGGTACTGGTGACAGCATGATTAAGATATGGGATTTGAAAGAGCGGGCTAATGTGGCCAACTTCCCAGGACATTCCGGACCGATCTCGGCTATCTCCTTTTCTGAGAATGGTTATTATCTTGCTACATCGGCAGACGACTCTGTCGTCAAATTGTGGGATCTACGAAAACTGAAGAATTTCAAGACAATCTCATTGGATGATCGATATGAGGTATTTTTTATTTTCTCTTCACTACTGGTGATGGTATTAATTTTCCAAATATTTTCTGTGAAATATAAATAATATTTGTGTACTGGCGTAATAGCAGTATTGTAAATTCTGATTTATGACTTGTTTGATAATCTGCATAATAATTATAATTTGTAGACATTATTATTGATAAAAGCCATGGATACAGCAAAAATGATCACTTCATTTAGGGGTTGATGAGTTGAAGTTAATTCAATCTGTGCAAAAACAGCAATGTTTACATAGTTTGTTACAATTTTGCACTTTCGTTTACAAGGAGAGTGAAGCAAAAGATAACTTTTGTTGTACACATGCTTTAATTACCCAATGCCCTTTATTGAAAGACCTTAATTATGTCTGAATGAGATGGTGGGATGCTTTGCTACATAGAGGATGAGGGCATGATTATCTTTATTATCGTTTTGCAGGTGAAATCTCTGTGTTTTGATCAGAGTGGTACATACTTGGCTGTAGCTGGTACCGATGTACGTGTATATCTCTGTAAACAATGGGATAACCTGGCAGTATTCAAAGGTAAGATGTGTGCACTATACCGTTCATGTATATGAGGTTTTTACGATGATACCTCAAAGTATGCATGAAGACAGTACAACAGAAGTATCGACCGCCGTGCAGCAGAGGTCGATATAACGGTGACTGTGTGAGTGCATACTTTGAGATATCCTCATAATAACCTTATTATTATACATCTTTTCCTTCCAAGGATACATCATAGGAATGCCGAAATCCAAAATGTTTACAACAGAATCAGCAAACTTTGTGTGGAGTCCAGTCAACCTTGGTGGCCGCCATGTAACTTGTGGCATTACGGTGACAGATGTATAATAATACTCATTATTACAGCCAATTACTGGTTGTGCAATTACCTGTGCTTTATATTTTGTCACCTATTCAGCTGAGCAGTGGGTACAGTTTGACAGATACAGTACATTCAACAAGATACGTACATTACACGATTTGTTTGATTCTTTCCTCAGATCACTCGGATATGGCTACGGGAGTGCGATTTGGTCGGCATGCGTCATTCATCGCATCTACAGGTATGGACCGAAGTCTCAAATTCTATGGCCTGTAGAGAATTTTAACTGGAGTACAGATAGTCACATACGAATCACCTGAAAACAGACAAAAGATTTTTACTGCAACATGTATTCATATTTTTTCGTAATTTTTCTGAATGTTATGAATAATTCAGTACCTTATCCTGAATTGCAAATTTGCCATGTGCGGTACACGCCTAGTGATTACCAACAATGTGTGGGATTTTTCTAGTTAGCAAGATCAATATCGTCAGACGTTGTCCTACACTGGAACACGCAAATAACACACTAGTACATTTCCCCATTGCTATCACCATGAATTCATAAGTTAAGTTTATTTTCTTGTTAAGTAATTGCAAAAACAGGGCAGTGTAGAATAAGTCCCCATTTGAAATTGTTCCAACCCCACTTCCCTCTCTTCCATCCACTGTGTTAGTAGGAATGGAACACTGAAATATTGTAATATCTATTACCTTTAAAAAATATCATTCATGAATTATCAAAACTTGTGAACATGAGTAGTCTCAATTTAATCTACTTGTACAATCTTGACCAAAAAATTGAAAAAAAAATATGCTAAAGGAAAATGTGTAACGTTAATGTATTCTGTAAGAACACTGTTGTGTATACATTTGTTTTTATAGAATTTATTGGAATTTATGATTATTACTGCCATTTAATATTTTATTTAATCCATTATTGTGACAAAAGTAATTATTGCTTCAGCTTGAGAATATGAATCTGAAAATATTATTGATGTTTTTAAGATCTTGTACTTTCTGCCATAAAGGTTGCACATCCTGGTACTTTCTGCCATAAAGGTCGCACATCCTGGTACTTTCTGCCATAAAGGTCGCACATCCTGGTACTTTCTGCCATAAAGGTCGCACATCCTGGTACTTTCTGCCATAAAGACTGCACATTATTTTCCAAAACTGAGTGGTTGTCATTCAATTTCACAAACAGTTTATATTATGCAAAAATTGAGGTATAATTCTGGAAATTGTATTGTTTTAGAGCTGCATCATGCTCAGAAATGCCAGGATGTGTGACCTTTTGGAGTCATATAAACATCTCAATTTTTCTCGTATATTGTTACAGATTTGATTGTAATTTTTGAAGTATATTTTTGATGGCAGTTGCATATTTCTATTTCGAGGATAAACTATTATATAGCTGCATTTTTTTAGCAGGATAAAAACTTATGTGAAAGGGACTTACAAGAAAATTCGTCAGTGGATTTACTGTTTTTTTTTTTACTTGGATTTGTGATGGTATCTGACTCTGTAATACAAATATACCTATCTGTAGAAGACAGTCGGTTTTTGAACATGGAAGACTGGCTGGTTAAAGTAAATACAATTTATTCCACTTTGTAAAGCTTTGTTTTCATCAATAAATAGCCTTCTTTTTTTTCAAATATGGATTGAATGTTTGGTGTACCTGTACAACTATTTTTACCAGAGTTGATTGCTTAAAATGTTACCTCCTTGTCAAGGCTAGAGGATATCCTTGAACCCCTTCGGTGCCATTGTCAACTTTTGGCACCATCTACAAAATAATTTTGTACAGTCATCCTCCCCACATGAAATATTGATAAAAATTGACAAACCTTTTGATCAAAAACTAAAGTCAATATCTGAAACAGTCTGTATGATCCAAAATGATGATGAAATTTACTGAAAATTCTCCAAAATGTGAAATATTTGCACTTAATTTTAGGCAAGAAAAATATCTGGCACTCAAGACTTTATTGAAATTATGATAGACATATTTTGATCATTATGAAGGCCTCAAAGCAATTGGTGAGAATATAATCAGATAATCTATAAAATGTCCTTCATTACCTACTATGTTATCAAAACTTTTCACTAGCTGCCCTCTATGGTCACTTTTAGACTATTTAGAAACATTACTTGCTTCTAGAGGGCTCTATCACTCGCTCATTCAGTCCTCATCTGGGCCGTCTGGTGCTTGAGACGAAACAAGAAGTTTCCATCTGGCTCTGTCGGCTGCTATCCTGGGGGCAGTCTCTTACTCCCGAGTTCTTTTTCTATTACATTCAAACATCTAACTCAGATGTTGCTTTTGAGCGTCAGGATGTCCGCTGTCAAGCTGGAGATGTCTATTCGGCTTTGGTCCCTGCCGCCATACGTCCAGGTACCTGGACAGCTTCTCTCCTTCTGCCAGGTAGATTTAAATTCCTTGTTGTTCTGTAGCGTAGAAGGTTTTACGGGGTGGGGTTGCTAACGCCCAACCCTCCTTTCTAATCCGGGCTTGGGACCGGCCATGGTGGAGATGGCTCTATCAAACACCATCAACTAGTTGATTGTCGCATATGACTTATTTACTACTTCCGTGTCACTGAGAATATTCTAGAACCGTACTGTGTCTGGGTGGAATATTCTAGATTTTTTTGTAGAGACTGGTTGAATAGGTAATAGAACACTGTAGGAGGCAATAGAAGGTAATGGAACATTCTAGAAATTTGTAGTAAATTCCAGACTCATTATGTATGCTGATGTAATGGTATATTTATAGACAGTGGAGGTATATATAGGGGAGTTGTTAAGCACTGAGTTCAGATTGGAGATCTCGTTGAATTGTATTGGAGTTTAAGTATCTAGTTATTGGAGGTTTGGAGTTTTACCGCGTTATTGTACTTGATGTTTGCAGAGTATAATAATACCAGTACCAGTTGAAACCTCATCTGTTGGCTTCGTGTTCGTATGTTATCATCGCCGCCAGGGAAGTCTTTCTGTTACTGTTGCCATTTTGGTATTTGAACCATCACACCTGTGCTATACCAATTACGGTAATATTACGTTGCGTGTGACATTGATGTATCAACAATTTAATTTGTTAATTTCATTCTGCATTGGTAGCTCATGATCGAATTGCACAGATTTGTTCACATTGCACTCCTGAAACCAGTGAATAAGACACTGCTACTATCAGTATGCAAATTAGTATGTGATGATTAAACCAATCATTGATGAGTTTCGAGGTCAAAGGTAGCTAATATTGTCACCAAATGAATAAATAACAATTTAAAGTAATGTCTGAATAACTTTTTTTTGAATAAATCTGAAATACCGTATTTTTTTTATTAGAAGCACAACTCCAATAGAAGTGCATATAAATCCAATATCACTTTTATTTTATACTGAATCATTAAAATATTTTTTTATTAGAGAAACAACTGTAATTGAGGTAAGCACATGTGCTACTAATAGAGAAAATATGGTAGATGTTTTAAAAATCAGAGATTTTTGCCACACTGAAAACTGCAGATATTGCCTTGAAATGCAAGTGAACCAACCTATTCATAAAAATAAAAAAAAAATACATTTATTTTACCAAACTTTTTATAAATTAAAGAGCGATGGTCGTTACTAGCCACAATGAACTGAAATAGTTTTGGTTCTAGCCACCCAGACTTCACAAAAATTATTACATAATCCATATCTTTAACACAAAGTTTGTGTTCTAATAATTTTTATTGGAAGAGGCGTTAAATATTTTGAAACATAAATTTCGGATTGAGGATTACACTACAAATCCAGATTAGCATTTGAGTCAATGCGAGGCCAATCACAGGATAGCGTCTCATTAGCTACCCAACCATAACATCCAAAGGACCAATCAGAGAGCATCTTTTATATTGACATTTTTTTTTTTTATATATTATACAGTCATGTGTGTAGGCGCTGATTGTGAATTTCCTGCCCACTGCATTTTACTAGTACTCGCCAGAGGAAATATGTAACGACCGACGATTTGTGACTTAATAACTCATCCATATACTTTGGTATTAATTGTTTGCATATTGAATAAGCAATTGCTTTATGGTTTGTTTCCGGTCAATAAATTCAGTCTGAGTGTCTGACGTGCATAATCCAGTAAATTGCTTCTGGGCGACTACTATTACGTCAAACAAGTAATAAAATTGTCTACAATCAGTAAGTTTGAATAGAACGTAATTTTTAAATACTCATTGAATAGCTATATAGGAACAATCAAATTTCCCTTGTCGATATTATTTTATGTTTGTCACAGTCTGTGGAGGTTTTGTTGGATACCATTAATAGTTCTAGACTTTTTCAGCTGCTTAATAATTATATTAAATATGCTTCATCGCTGTCAGCCACCATTTGTATTTGCATCTTCTTAAAAAGTGCAAGCAAGACGACTTTGATATTTGATTACATGTACCTTGGCTGGACCTATATCTATATCATTTTGAGCTAATACAGGTATCTCTGATTCGCAGTGTATATTTTTGTTAAAAACTAATGATTTTTATTTCTCATAAAAAAATTACTGAGAAAATGATTCAGTGAAAATAAAATCGACTGAATATACCTTTTTTCTTATCATTCAACTCGTCAAAAATCAGTGAAAATAAATTCCATACAAAATACTCAAAAAGTCTTTTCAGCTAAAATAAAGTATTCCATAGTATATGAATTTGCAGTTTTCTTTTTTTTTCCATGTGTGTGAAAAATTAATCCTTACCTAAGTTGCCTAATGAAATTCACATTGCTACAAAGTGTTGCGATTTTCACTATCTCTCAAAAATTTAGTCGCTTGTGAAATTACTGCAGTTTACAGTATATGTGATTGGTGTTGTACGCCAGTGCTGATTCAACTATTTCAGCGCCATTTTTGTTTCCAATTAAATTTATATAAATAAATTCTTTCACATTTTCTGTAATTTTCACAGAATTCAATCTTAATTTTGGACCAAACTGACAAAATTTGACATTGCTTCTGGATTTTGATCAAAAAAAGTTGAAATTTTTGGAACATTTCGTGTGGAAAATAGCAAACATAAATGGTACTATTTTGTGGATGGTGGCTGAAGTTGGCTTTGGTGTCAAAAGGATTAGAACCCTGCCAAATATTCATTTGATTTATTTTCTGCATACTGTAAAACTTTTCAGCTAACACGTTAATTTAGCTAATTTTAACTAATTCATCATTTTGCTACTGTAAAATACTTTATTTTACCTGGAATTAATTTCGCTTTTTGGATGTTTTGTATAGAATTTATTTTCACTAATTTTTGACAATGAGTTGAATGTAAAATATAGAAAAAAAAAATATTTGCTGGTTTGCTGGATTTTATTTTCACTCAATCATTGCAAAAATCTAAATTATTTTACAGTAATTCATGATGTCATTTAAAATAAAGTATATTTATTGTCGCAATGAGATTGTTGTCACTTTAGCTAAATTACGGTTCCGTAAATTCATGCATGGAGTCAAATTTGCTTTTTCAACATGTTTTACAATATTTATAGCGCTATTGGTCGGATTGACGCAATAAATAAGACACTTAAGTACGGTACTGTTCATTGATGATTTTAATGGATAATGTACACAAGGAGTAAGGTATCCATTGTTTTCAAGAACTGTCAACTGTGTCTAAATCAGACCCTGTTTAAACCATCACATGTCAAAACTGAACATTGCTTTTGTAGTCCTTTCTCATCAGACTTAAATTGCTTATTATAAAAAAAAAAGATCCTATATAAACTGACCAATCCCTTTGATTTTAATAGCAGATATCAGACAGAGGTAGAACATCTCGTCAAATCTTTTTATTTTAATCTGTCCTTTTTGGAAATAACAACAAAAATACTACAGATATGTTACATAAACGACACTGTATTGAAGTAGAAACTACTAAGCAACAAATCAAAGTATATATGTCCATTTTAAAAAATAACTTAAAAAACAATGCTATTTAAGTCTCGGATGTGTATTCGTAAGGCACATGTAATTACTGATAAGGCAATTTTGTCGATGCTCGCTTGGTTTTAAAATCTGAAAGCCTCTTTTTATTTCCACTCTAAGATGTCAGTAAAGCAACACAGGCAAGCTATTATTAGAAAGATTACAGCACTAATCATACCTTGAAGCATCGGACACTACACATTTAAAATTTTATGTAAACATGCATGGTACAATAGATATGACATTTTAAAATGTGAAATCAGAAAGTGGTTTTTCTTGAACTCTGACCCCAAATGGTCCGTCTCTTGTGAATTGGTTGCCTTTACAGTGAAATTGTATGGCAGTAATTTTTTTTTTTTTAAAAATGTATCTTTTTACATACAGGATAATGCCACTTGATAGAAGGTGTCAA